CCTTGCAATTAAAGCTTAAAAGAGTTTCTGTCCTCTGTTGCACAAAGATTTCTATTTTGTCTAAAAATTCTTCCAAATAATACAACAGAGCTTTCCTCTTTGAAAGATCTTTTCAATTTTGTGGGATGTTTGTTTGTTTTCCAGTATTGGGGATCGAACCCTGGATCTTGAGCATGTTAGGGGAGTATTCTACCACTGAGCCCTTTTTTCTTTAGTTGTTTTCACGTAAGATATCGAGGTTTTGCCTGGGTCTGGCCTCAGACCACACCATCCTATCTATGCCTCCTGAGTATCTGGGATTATAGGTGTGAGCCACTGTGCCTGGCTTATATTCTGCTTTTGAGACGGAGTCTCATTAACTTTGCTGAGAGCCTTCTGCCTCCATCTCCTGAGTAGTGGGGACCAAAGGAGTAAGCTCCCATGCCTGCCTCATCTCTTCATCATTCACCCACTCTTTCCAGTGGCTTAAGCGCTAGAATTGAAACGTGGTCATAGCCTCAGTACGGCCTGATGGAAGGATGCAGAGTTCGCATTCATTTTGAGGGTTCGGCTTATCTGGTGGTCTGAGTGATCTCCTGAGTGGAGGAATCATTCTAGAGCAAACTATTTACAGGATTTTTGCTGGGGAATGTTGTGCCTCAATTTGATTTTGTTTAAAAAAGAGTAGGTGGTAATGTTTTTTTTTTTTTTGGACTGCATTTATTTCTGGCTCTTACTTGTTTCTGAGTCAGTGTCTCACATATCGACGTGGATATTATTGAGCGATAACAGGTTTGTTCGGGGAGCTGCCTGTGTACCCTTGAGGCCTCTTTATCACCTCTCCAGTTCTGATGCTTTGGTTGACATGGTGGCCTCCCTGACCTGTAGCTCAGTAAACTTCCCTTCATTTTGGGGACTGACCCTCAGAGTTGCCCTCCACAGCCAGGATGTTTAAGGTGCATCTGGTTCCGGAAGAAGGGAAGCAGGCAGGAAATGATCACCTCTGTTTAGACTGGTTTTGGTTTTATTCAGAAGAAATGGGAGTCCCTGGTTTGGAATAGCCGAGTAGGAATGCTGGCTCTGCAGTGAGCCAGTCAGATGTTCAGGACAGCGCCATGCTGTGAACTCTGGGTGTTAGGTTTGCCTGCCCTGGTGCATTCAAACAAGACCAAAACATTCCAGCTCTCATCAGAGATACTTGAGATCAAGCGCGTTCCTGTGTCACTCTGCTAACTTGGATAATAGACATGTGTTTGCTGCCTCAGATTTAAAAAAGACTCCCTGGTGCCTGTGATGTCCCAGAAGAGATCTGACTACAAGGTGCAGATGGCCCTGGGGTGCCTCTGAGCAGTTTCTGCCTCCCTGAGGCTCTGCCTGCACCCCTACTTTCTCAGCCCTTTTACTGCTCCACCTTCGGCCATCCTTATTCTGGCTTCTTAGAAACGCAGTTAAGGGATTACCTGTCCATCCAGGCCTCAAGTCTAGGGACAGGATATCCCTAGGTGGCTTCTAGGGCTTCTGTCCTCTGAGGCAGGAAGCAGGAAGTCCTGTCGCATGCTTGGCTCCCTGCTGCTGTGTGGTCCTGGCTACCACACGGGGGCAGTCAGAGCCTGTGCTCTTGGCCTCCTGCTTCCCGTGTGACCTTTTCTTCAAATTGGGCTGTCACAGGAACCCAGAGCTGTTCGAATTTTGCGGCAAGCTCCCTGCTGGAATTCTCCATTCCAGGCCTAGTTTGCAGAGCAGCACTGCAGCACTTCAGTGCCCTCCACCGTGCAGGTGTCACGTGTGTCATGCTGGCTTCCTTCCGAGGCCACCTCTGGGCACCTCCCCCCCAAGCCTGTAACATGAGGCAGAAGAGGGGCTCTCTTCCGGGGCTATCGGCTGTTGCTTTTAAAATCTGGGGAAGATGATGAAGAACTTCAAGTTGTGTTTTTCCCTGCACGGAGAGAGAGGCCGTGCATTTTCATGTCCTGTTGTCCTGTTGCCCACAGCTGCTTTGATGGGTGGGGTGGGCAGGTGGGGAGGCCAGCATGGTACCTATCGCCACAGTCAATCCAAAGCCCAAGTCTGTCCATATAGAACACACCATTCCCCCTGCAGGATCCCAGCAATGGTCCTCCCTCCCTCCTGGGGGCCGAGCTTTCATAGTCCCCCTCACTAATTGCCATCTCTGCTATCACCTGAACCTGTGTGGCAGCAACAACCAGAGGCCAGGCTCCTGGAGATCAGATGTGCTGAGCACCGTCTCAAATGTCATGCCTGGGTGTGGGAATGTCTGCTGTTTCAGCAGAGGTGGGAATGTGTCTGGACATGTGGCTCTTGCCCATGGTGTTTATAACATGACCAGAGTGTTGCCTTGGTAAACATGGGCCTGTGATCCTGATGAAGCCTGCAGTCCACAACTGGAGAGGAGACAGCCCCATGAACCGGGAAGAGTTACCTGCAGAGGTGGAGGCTTTGTGGTTATTCAGGATGGCAGGAGGACTCCTGTCCACCTGTCCTAGCAGCTATTCTGATGGTCACTGCGGCCTCCTTGATGTCTGAGTGGGCAGGCCAGTGTGCACGGGTTCCCACTGCACCACTGGGACCGCAGAGAACCATGTCAAGGTGAGGGACTTGGTCCCTCCACGTGAGCATGCTTTGCTAACCGTGGACTCAGTCCTCCTGGCCTGCATGTGCACGTGCAAGGTGGGTTTCTGACGAGGACCCACCATGGGGAACACGCAGAAGAGAATGTGTCCTACACACGTGGCTTGTCTACAATACCTGACTCTTGGGAAAGGGATTTCTTAAGAAGGAACTCAATCTGCATTGTGAGTCAATGTTTACACACCGAAGAGAATGACTACTGACTTCCCACTCCTGAAACAGACAACTGGAATGAAGGCATGGCTTGTGTAAAAGCAGGGAGGCCATGTTGTGATTTAACCCAAGAGCAAGCAAGATCAAATCCTCCCTCAATGGGAGGATGTAGAAAGTCCAGAGCAGTTACTAAGTGCCTCACTGGGGAGGTGGGAGGCCCTGGTCTGGGCTTTGCATACACAGTCTGATAAATTCTCTCAACAATCCCTAAGAGGAAAATTCGGGGATTTTATAGGTTTTACTGGTGAGGATTCCAGGTAGAAAAGTGGCATGCCTCTGGTCACAGGCAGTAAGCAGCAGAGCAGTAAATTAAATCTACTTCTGTTCCATTCCAGAGCTCATCCAAAAGGTCTTAAAAAGAAAGCCAAACCCTGATCTTTAAATAGGATATCTAAATAGATTATGTAGAAAATAATGTTATTGTTAGCTTCTGGGTTTCCGTGATGTGCTGGCACCTGCCAACTTTTCAGTTTCTCTGACTTTGCACTAACGAGGCACCTTCAGTTCTACTGTGTTTCACTATGAAGTGACAGTGTTGTCACCTAGTGGTTTCCATCCAAAGAGAAAAGTTCGAATGAATGTTGTTTCAGTAACTCTGATCTTTCCCCACTAGTGGCAGAGGTGAGCCAGCTATGGAGAGAGAAGGGAAGCTGTCTGCCAGGAGCTGAATGGATGAGCCTTTGAGGTTTCATGTTCTGTGCACCTCCTAAACAGTTCTTTACAGGGAGGACTTTACTGAACAGGCACAAATTACATCTTAAGCATGTAGAGACGTGTGTGTGTGTGTGTGTGTGTGTGTGTGTGTGTGTGTGTGGTGTGTGTGTAGTGTGAAATAGAGTGTTTACAGACCTGGGAAGCAAGAAGACTATAGCGTCTTTATGGTGAATTGTGCAGTTAGCAGCCAGAGGTGACTGCCTTATTACCCATCTGCATTCCTGAGGGGTCTGTGTTGTCAGCACAGCTTGGGCTGCAAGTGAGGTAAGACTCAATTCAGTGGGTCAAATAGTCAAGAGATGCATCATCTCAGAAGACAAGGTGGATCAGTCCAAAGTTTGTTAATTCAGAGACTCAGCGCTGTCGTCAGGATTCTTTTCTCAGCTCTGCAATCCTCAGACTTGTCCCTCATGGTGGCACCCTGACTGCCGAAGCTCTCTGCATTTTTACACAGCTTCCATTAGCCATGAAAAAGACAGTCCTTTACATTTTTTACCTTTCAAGAATAAACAACCTTGCCCATGGCTTACTCATTCATAAGTGATTCCTCTTTGCTCCCTGATGACATCTGAGAGTTGTCATTTCCAGTGCAAGGCTGAACACTGGCTGGGTGGATGGCCAGGATACCCAGGACTTGTTCCTGGGTTCAGTGATGGACCTGATCTCTTTTCCAACAGACACAGCGTTGAATGATTAAATAAAAAGGCGTTAAGTTAGCAGAGATTCCCTTAGAAATGACCAAGTGGTAGGCAGCCAACACAGCGTCCTGAAGTTAGACTGGGAAGTCAGGTGGAGGGAGTCCTTGGTGCTGCCTTCTGAGTCAGAGGAGAAGGGCCAGACTGGCTTTGGGAGCCTGCTGTCGATCCATGCAACATTGATTGACTATTTAGTACGGATTGCAACTGACCTAGTAGCACCCTCTTTTTCAATTTCCTGTGGCATTTTAAATGTGATATGTACTTTCCCTGCACTGGGGTGTTAGGCAGGGAAGATGATGAAGAGAAAAAGAGGGAGAGAGAGAGAGTGTTGGGTGGATTGGGGAAGCAGAGTAAGCATTACTGCCTCCTCCTGATTGGTGTCTGGGGAATTACTAAAGCCACTATTATTTTTGCAAAAAAAAAAAAAATGAGACTAGAACATGTGGCTGTCACCTCTGTGCTCACTAAATACATAAAAAATTGGGAATGTCACCTCTGAACATCAGGCCTCCATCTAACCAGTTTTGGGCACACTTTGAATCTGGGATGCCCAGGTAATAGCAGCGGTTCAGGAGGATGGGCTCTGGGCCTGCAGGAAGCCTCATATACACAGTTGTTAGCTCCTCGCTGTGTACGTAAGGCCACCAGGCCCACGCCCCTGTGCTGGATGTTCCAGCATCCTGTTTGTGTGATCAGTAGTGCACCACATCTGAAGACGATCAGAGCTTTTGACTTGCCCATTCGCAGAGAGATGCTGGTCAGCTCTTCCAGCACTACAACTTCTGAGAGTCCAGATCCGTCCTCTGGGGACCCTGCAGTCAGTGCCCTTCAGCAGCAACTATTCCTCATGGTGGCTCGAAGGACACAGTCGGAAACACCCCGGGTATGTGCATCTCAGGGTTGCTTTGTGGTGCTCTGGAGGCGGGGGTGGGGTGGGGGGGGCTTAAGACCATTTCCAGGTGGCTAGTCAGGTGTCGCCCTGAATTTCACCCACGTCACTGGGTGGCTGATGTGTTACTGGGCAGGAATTTTTCACTGCATGACAGTGAAAAGAGACCTTTCAGGTCACAGAGGGGGACTCACTTGCTGTTCAAGTGCATTGGAAATTCATCCCTGTTGATCTTTGGTTGCTAGGATGTGTGAGTCCCTCCAGAACGCACTGGGTAAGTTTGCTTTTCCCCCATGACTTTGAAAATATCTATTTAAAAAAAATTATGATAACCTTGTATGCTAAGCATTCAAAAATTCTCATATATTTTGAAGGATATTTGAATATTGTGAATATTTGCCTATACTTGAAGGAGAGACCTTAGTCCCAGGACAGGCGATATCAAGAAGTCTAAAATTGTTGTTTTACTGAGAGATACTCATTCACTCAGTCAGGCGAGCATCAATGAGACTGTGGGAGTAAACCCAGGAATTCACAGCCTCAGACACCTGGGGAGGGCAGACACAGACCCAGTTGTGCCCAGGAGCTGTGACTCCAGCCTGGGCATTGAGGAGGAGGGGAACGGGGACACTCAGTCAGACCTTGAAGAATGGCAGGCCTCCTCTGGCTCAGGCTGAGGAAAGAGGACTAAAGACCAAATGAAGTCAAGTTAGCATGAAGTTTCTTGATTTTTCTGTTCACTTTCCTCCTGCAACTGTTTCCTTTCCTTCTAGAGCACTTCATCTCTGAAAAACTAGTACAGCTTTATGTTTGTTTTTCAGAGTGCTTAGCAAAAGTTTTCCAAAGAATATTGATAATACAGTGGGTTGAAATTTATACATCACTGAGGCCAGGCAGAGTGGTGCATGCCAGTAATCCCAGGACTCAGGAGGCTGAGGCAGGAGGATTGCAAGTTTGAGGCCAGTCTGGGCTGCATAACATGACACCATCTCAAAAGACAAAGGAAAACAAACAAAGCAAAAGGAAGGTATGCACCATTGCTGAGGTGTGCAAGGGAAAAAGAGGAGTCATGATTCCTGCTCCCTGAGGAGCCTCGTTCCTGCTGCTGGGGACAGTATAGGGAGGAGGGGACTTAAGAGTACCAGTGCAGGGTGACATCAGAGTCTCTCCAGGCTTGCTGGACTATCCTGTGGGAGCAGGTATTTAGTCCAGCCCTGGAGCTGATCTTCGGGGGGCTCACTTCCTTTCATGTACTCAGGTCCCTCCCTCTCCCCCTTTCCAGGGCTTGGGGTGCAGGGTATGATCACCTAAAACCACAGGTGGGGGTGGAGGTGGAGGTGGGAGGGCTGGCATCTCTCAGATGGTTGCCACCAGCCTGGCCATGCACAGCAGTGTGGTGCCGCTCCTGCCTGACTCCAGGGTGGTGAGGGGGCTGCCTTCTGCTGACCACCAGACACCCCGCCCTTTCCTCCTGCCTCTGAGGACCTCGCATTGCACAGCCCGCTCTCCTCCACCTGCGTCTTCAGGTTCTGTAGTCTTTTCTGGCCCTCTAAGGGCCTGGGGCTGTGGAGGCTGCATCCTCTACACACGGTGCCCTGTGTGGCCCTGTGAGCTCTGCCAACCCCACGCAGGGCTGGCGCTGGTTTGCATTATAGCCCTGGAGCCCAGCCTGGGGTCCCTGCAGAATGGGGCTGTCTGAGGAACTTGGCTCCTCCCCACATGGCCTGGGGAAGGGCCACCTCCTCCATGTGCCACCTCCAGCGTATGGGTGTTGAGCCTCCAAGGTTTGGCAGAAATATGGAGATCGTTTGGGAGATTGTGAGAACAGCAGAACTTCAGGGCAATGAAGCAGTGAGGGGTTTTGGATGATCAAAGCACAAATCCATCCATTTATTATCTCGAAATGTCCAGCTGCAGCAGAAACTCAAAGGGAGCGAACATCTCAAGGATAAATCAGAAACAGTCACTTGGCTCCTTATTTGACTTCTAAAATTCTGTAAGTTGCATGAAGGTGACCAGCCTCAAGAGGGCGCTCTCCTGCATGGCCTCTTCCTGCCACACATGGCTCATTTTTGCCAGGGGAGAATGGCAGATAACTTTTTCTCTGGCCTTGGTCCACCTCCCTGCTGTCCACACACAGACCCTGTAGGATTCGGTCCTTTACTGGCATGAGAAGAGATCTCTAAGGTTGGAGGTGGGTGATCCCAGTCCTCAGGTGCAGGTGGGCTTCTGTGGAGGGGACAGGGAACTAAGGTAACTAGCCAGCCTTGGGGGTGGGGTTGTTTCTTGTAGGTTTTGGTGCAGGTTTTGCTGGACCTTCCTAAGACTTCGCTCCTGCTCTCAGCCCCGAACAATCCAGCTGCCTTCTGCCTGGGCCCCTTTCCCACCTCCTCCTTCACCCTCCTTTCCCATCTCCTGTGTCTTATGTTCAGCAGCTAAGAAAACCAGAGCCCACTTTAAATCCATGTAGAAAACACACAGGGGAAAGCGAGCAAATAAAACACAGCTCTGAATGCCCCAGCTGGCCCACTTCTGGTCATGGAGCTCAAAGAATTTTGAGCAGAATCTGAAGGGATGTTTGCACACCTGGTTCACAGCACATTATTCACAGTAGCCAAAAGATGAAAGCCAGTGTCTACCTGTAAATGAATGGATGAACAAAATGAGGATATTCACAGGTGGACCATTACTTAGGCTTAGAAAGGAAGGGCATTCTGACACATTCTGCAGTGTGAATGAGGTGGAGGACATCATGCAACGTGAAACCAGCCAGTCACAAAAGACCGGTTCTGGATGACCCACTTCTGCGAGGGTCCCAGGACAGTCAGCTTCATGGATACAGGAGGAGAAAGGGCGCCTGGCTGGAGAGGAGAGGATGGGGTGTAGAGTTCCAGTTTTGAAGGAGGAGAAAGTTCTGGAGACCTTTTGTGCTTGTGAATGAAGTCAGTACTACTGAATTCTGCACTTGAAAATGACTCAGGTGGTGAATTATGTGTTTTCTTTTTGACCACAATTTAAAATACATACAGATTAGCCCTGGGTCTGGAGGCCTGGGCACCTAGAGTGGCTTCAGGATGCAGGTAGAAGTGACAGGCAGAGGTCAAACAGCGCTGTGGTGAGGGAAGGGGATGGCATTTCACCAGGCTCCATGGGGAGAACAGGAGAGAAGTACAAGATTAGGTCCAGTGGCAGCACCCCTCAGCCTGGTACCCCTGCTGTTGGGACGAAGCAAACACACTGTGTCACCTAGGGCCGCAACCTGTTCCTCCCCACCAAGTCTTTAGGTGGGCAAGGGGTTGACAGTCTCCTCGGACTTCATCCTCCCAGGCCTGCCGCCCTCTTCATGCTGCATGTGTCACCCACGCCCCTCAAAGAACTGACTTTAACACAGTGCCACACCAGCAGTGCCTCCAAGCGCTTATCAGACACAAAAGCAAATTTTCATCTGGAAGAACAGAGCTTGACTATAGCTCTCCCAAATTCACACAAATCGAGATCCAAGGCGAGCTTGATGAAGTGAAAGTGTGGCAGAGGAGCTGACAAGGTCAACAGACAGCAGAAACACCGCCTCGCTGCATTTGGAAACTGTAATTAGCACATTCAGAAGATGGATCCCGTGCGCTTCCAACAGATAAAGAAACAAGAAGGGATTGAAAATGTAAGGAGCAAAAACCAGGCAACGATCAAGCAGATTGGAGAACGCATGGGTCCCGGGAATAAAACTTGATAATGAAAATCACAGCTGTGCTGATTTAGCAGGAAATTTGATGCCATTGACAGAAACGGAGCCAAAGAGATTGTTCAGATGTAGCAAGAGGGACAGAGGATGAAATGAGAGAGGTTGAGGGTCATGGGGCAGGGGAGGTGCCCACATTTAAAATATGTGTCTGCATCTTATAATATTTAACAATTTTCTTCTAGAAAAGCATGGTCCCTAGTATTATCTGACGTGGAGGGAACACCCTGAGCACATGAGAACCCTTGGGGCTCAGCATGGCACTGAGTGCCCTGAGCTGACTCAAGGAGCAGGGTTCAAGGGCGTCCTGTAGACGGATTTCAGAGAATAAAGAGCAGAATCACAGTTTTGGAAGATGGCTGTAACCAAGGTCAATATGAAATACACACAGTTTAAAAAGAATAATTGTTAGTTTTCTGGAAAATTCAGCAGCATGGAACATTTTATTCCCTGGTGACAACGAGCATAAAGAATGAGTTGACACTCACTTGCAGGTGTAGTCTTGGGGAACGCATAACAGGTGTCGTAACTACTTTTACCAGAAAGATGGTCAGAAGAGCTAAGTTTTGTTCTCTTCTCCATATTCTTCCTCCTCGGAGGCCCTCGATGCTCTCCATGGAGGCCCCTCTGTCACTCGGGTTTGAGTCAACCCATTCGGGAGGATCACAGCCCCCGCTGCCCCGCCCCCCAGGCTGAGTAAGAGTCTCTCACTCCGTACTTGATAGGCAAATTGATGAGGACTAATGTTTTTAATTATTTTCTGCAGGATTATAGCAAATGAGGGCTGAAACTTTTACAGTCGGAGTCTGCATTTTCCATAGGTCAGTTTATCGGTTTAGATTTGTTAAGGTCACTGTGTCAGTTTTTCTCACCACACACTTCGCCAATGACCCAGGGATCCACGTGGAGATCTCTATGCTCAGAGTAAAACTGGAATATTGCATTTCAGAACACACTTAAAAAGTTAAGTCACTTAAGAGCTTTTTGCTGGATTCTTAGTTTCTGTAAGAATGATTTTCAGGGCAGTTTCTTGGTCTTAATAAGTGTTGATTGAAGAGGAGGAAGAAAATTCTAGTGGCGTGTGATATGGGATGGGGGTGCATTGCTGTGATGTGCACTGATTCTGTCTCTTTCTCAGACTGTCAATTGCAAGTGAAATATGTTGGTTTACACTTCAGAATTTGGACATCTGCTTTTGTCTTCTTAAGTTATGCTATGTATTTCTGACAATGGCCTGCCTATATGGCTTACTCTCTCTCCTTTCTCTCTCTTTCTCATCTAAAAGCATGTCAGCCAGGATCTGGAAAACTCGTCATGTTCTTCAGCACAAGGAAAATTCACTCCAGAGCAGTTTTACAAGTTTTTCATTTTCCCTGGCAAGTGGATTAAAGTCTGGTACAACCGCCTCACCTTGCTGGCCTTACTGGACCGGTAAGCTACATCACTCACAGGTGCAGATGGAAGATGGGAGGGTGGCATCGCCGTGCAAGGTTGTGTGCTTCTAAAATGACAGAACACTGCTGTGCTGCGAACCCAAGGTCAAAGTGAGAGACCCTGCCCACTTAAAAACACAGCTTGGCAAGTACAGCAGGAGGTATGACAACTGGGTAACATGTTTGGATTTCAGGTTAGCCTTGGGGACGGCATGAACTTTGATCTCCTGGTGCCTGGCCCTGTTTTTGTAGGAAAGCCGCAGCCTCATCTGCAGCACAGGGCCTGGACTGCCAGGTATGGGCCCAGGAAAGGAGGGAAGAGGAAGTGGGGTGAGGCCAACTCTTCCCTGAGAACAGGACTTGGATTCTGGTGTCACTCTCCTGTCTGGTGTGCATTAAGGCCTTCCCTCTTTCTCTCCTTTTACTGTCGCCCCTCAAGATAAAACACTGTGGGCTGGACATGTGATTCTTGGGTGGACTGGTGGGATTGGGGGTCTTTGGTTGGTGAGAGGGATTGAGGAGGAGACTCTGTTCCTGTCCCCAGCTGCCACATGGTTGCAAAAAAAAAAAAAGACACTGTTATGGTCCTCAAGAGCTGTGGCTCTTATGGGAAGGCTGCTTTGAACATTCAAGATCACGTAAACAAATGCTGTGCGTAGCTCACCGCCAGCCCATAGGGGCAGTGATCCAGCCGCCTTACTGCCGTGGGTCCCTTGGTGACGACTTGTTATGGTAATGTTACAGTAATATCTTAAATGGTGCGATCACAGACGGAAAACGATAGTCTTGCAAAATTACAACAGTAAATTGCAGGACCACAAGCCAGCGAAAGGAGTCACAATGGTTCTGATAGCAACACTGTCACCTGGGGGCTCACACATAAGGGGATTTTTAAAATTTAGCTGGTAATCCAAGAAAAGGTATTCCGTTAGATGAGGCAATTTTTTAAATATTAATTTTTGTTACAAAAGAATTATCAGAAGTTAGAGGAGCATGTATTAGCATTGCATATTAAAAGCAAATCTTTCTGCCGACTCTTGTGTCTGTCATTTTAAAATCTACTCAGTCGTTAAAAAAAATAACGAGAAAATGATGGAGGTCTTAAAAAAAAAGGATGATGGAGATTACTGCCATTTTTAACAGATGTCATTTTATGGTTTTAATCACCTTCCTTGCAATGCACCAAGGGTTTTTAATCTGTGCTCATGGATGACCCAGAGACGGCCTCTCTCCCTTTCTGTAGACCCCCACTGGCCAGGTGCCGGGGCTGTCAGTGGACCCCTGCTGTCTTGTGCCGGGACCTTCAGGTGCCCCTGAGGCCCCTCTGTGCCTCTTCCTATCTGTCCAGTGGAGAGGTCATGATGATTAAATCAATTGTAGGGCTGTTCTTTAAATCTTAGTTGCTGTTATTACTGTTATTAATTGTTATCTGAAATGGTGCCCAGGACCCAGAAAGAAGAAAAATTAAAAATTAAATATGGTCACCAAAGCAGACGCGAAATCCAGACACTGAGCTGGAGCGTTAGTTGGTAGGAGACATTGCTCTGCATCTGGAGCCAGGCAAGCCATCAAGATCACCGATTAGCAGGTGGACAATCTGCACTTTGAGCCCAGAGTCAGTGGGCAGGAGGAAGAGCCACAGGACCTACACAGCAAGAAGGAATAGCACTCGATGTGGTTAGGAGGAGGAAATATGGCGACTGAGGTTGGGAACCGGAGAAAGAGCTGCCCAGCCGATGGGGGAGGGAACCATTCATGGCGTCAAGCTGGGCTCAGTGTCACCATTGTCCTGAGATCATGCTCTTAGCTCCATCTGTAGTCTCTTCCTGGCCACACCCTGTCACCAGGCGCCATCCTGTTTTTCTGCTGCCCTTCCCAGCAGCTCCTCGGGGGTGCTGTGCTGGCTTCTGGCTCCTCTTCTCTCTGACTCCACTGCATCCAGACTCCCTCACCCCAATGCTCGTTGAACCTGCCCTTGTCCCAGATACCCTCCCCATCCTGCAATGTTCATATTATCAAATCTGTGAGTAATGCCTGGCAGAGGTGGCGTCTCCTCCCTCTCGGTGTACTCTTTGCTTTCCCAGACAGTCACCATTTCCCCAGAAGGGAGGTCTACAGGCTCCTCTGCCTCCTGGCCGCTGAGGATGGAGTCCTGGCTCTCCTTTTCTTTCTCTGCCTGCCCTCGTTCCCTTGTGGCCCAGTGGCTTTAGACACCATCCATATGCCATCGACACTCAGCTTCATATCTCCATCTTCTGAATTCTACACCCGTCTGTCTCACTACCAGATTGGCCTCTCAACCACAGTCCACAGAGCTCCCCAGCTCAGCCCACCCATGCCTTCTTCTCCTTCTGTCTCCCTGTTCCAACAGATGGCAGCCTCAGCCTCTGGATTCTGATTGAACACCTTGGGATCGGTTCCCCGAGTCTGCTTCCTGTCACCCCTGCACTCAGTCCCTCATAGGAACTGAGTTCACGTGTCTTCTGTGCTTCCCCAGCCTTCCCGTGACCAGCAGGCTCTATGACTGTACCTAGCTGTGGGTGACACACTAGCATCCTTTCTGCTTCCCCCATTCTCCCAGTCCACCACCTGAACTCAGAAGCAGGGCCTTTGGTCTCTGCTCTTCAGGGTGCCTGCAGGCCCCCACTCCCCTCAGAACGAAACCAAAGTGCTCAGTGCCTGCAAGCACACCCTGGCCCAGCCAGCCCATCCTTTGCTGTGTGGCTGCATCCCTTGCACTCATCCCGGGCTTCCTGCATGCACCCTGCCCTTCCTGTGGCTCTCCTTCCTGCCAGACCTCCTCCTGCCCTGTGACCTTTGCACTGGGTGCCCACACATGGAACATTCTTCCCCAGACGTCTGCATGGCCACCTCGCCTACCCCCTCACTCTGCTCACCATCTTCTCACAGACCCTGTAAAATGCTCAGCATTCTTGTTGCTGACATGCTATGGCACAACCATGAGAAAGGAAGTTCCTCCATTTTGTTCTGATTCCTCAGAGGTGGGGCAGGGCTGAGCACTTGTGCTGCCCCACAACTCCCCTTTGCAAACCAGCTGGGTCTCCAGTCCAGCCATCATGACACCACCTGTCCTTTGCCCTCAGGTTGAAATCTTGGGATCGTCTCCATTCTTTCCAGTTGCTCCTTCATTGGACTCAACCCATTTGGCCACTGTCGTGTCCTTTCTGCGTTGCTCTTATTTGTGTCTTAACGTCATCTCTTTCTATGGCTTTGCCAGGCCCTTACCTCCTCTCCTGGGAGAGCTTGGTCTCTTCCCCACGGTGACCCTGGAAACCTCTGTGAGGCAAATCTCTCTAAGATGCAGCCTTAACCGTGGCACTCCGAGCCCAGCAAGGAGCTCTGAACCAGTGCTTGACTGTGAGCGTCTGAGAGACCAAGGGAAGGGAGCCACAGCGGGACAAGAACAGAGTCTTGGTGGAGGAGAATTCAGGGGAGAACATTCTCCCGGAGCTTTATTCTTCCCTTTCCCCCCAAAGTCAAAAAAGTAAAATCTCCTTTTATTTCATGGCCCCTTAGATATTTTAACTACATGTGAAAATGTTAGGAGCACATTGAAGACAGCGCGGTGAATCGCACAGACCTGAACCGACAAATATATTCAGCTCTGCTAAAAGTGCAAAGCAAGTCCAAAGCACGCAAATTTCCCCTTTCACTAAACACAGTTCAGTCCTCCAAAAAGTTATTTTTAATTTCCAGCTTGAGCATCACTGCACCTAAGTACTCGACACTTCTGCACCCGCCTGTGTTGTTTGTCTGTCCGTCTTGCTCTTGTTACCCTGTCCACCCCAGCTGGAGCCTTCATGCTTCCCCAGCTCCTGGCTGCTGTCCCTAAGTCCCTTTCCTGCCCTCCCTTCTGTGGGAGGCCTAAGTATTTATTTTTCTATTTCCTTGAATCTCTGAAATCCTCTCTCTCTCTCTCTCTCTCTCTCTCTCTCTCTCTCTCTCTCCATACATTTTAAAAGTTCCTACCACATGATTTGTGCACTCATATGTGTGTTCTTACAAGTGTTCTTTGCCTTGCTGTTATTTTTCTGGAGCTATTGATATATCGTCAAGTACCAGCATCAGGTTTGGGTTATCTTTCACTCATGTATCCATCCATTTAAAAATATTACACATGGCAAGGTGCTGGTGGCTCAAGCCTAAAGTCCTAGCTGCTTGGGAGGCAGAGATCATGGGGAGGATCACAATTTGAGGCCAGCCCAGGCAAAAAATTTAAGAGACCCCCCTCTCAGCTAATGGCTGGGTACAGTGATGTGTGCCTGCCATCGTAGCTAACTGGGGAAGCACAAATAGAGGAGGATGTGGTCAGGCCAGCCCGGGCATAGAGGGAGACCCTATCTCAAAAATAACCAAAGCAGATAGGGCTGGTGGAGTGGCTCAAGTGCTAGAGCACCTGCCTAGCTAGCATGAGGCCCTGAGTTCAAACCCCAGTGCTGCAAGGAAAAAAAAACATCCAAATAGAAACTTCATTAGAGAAGTTCGTCAAATAAACATACAAAGAGATGTTCCATATAGAATGTCAGGCCAGACAGTGTGGTTCACTCCCATAATACCAGCTACTCAATATGCAGAGATCAGGAAGACCATGGTTCAAAGCCAGCCTGGGCAGAAAGTTAGCAAGACCTCATCACAACTGAGTGTGGCAGTGCATGCCTGTGATCCCAGCTACACTGAAAGCTGTAGGTAGGAGGATGGAGGTCCAGGAAAAAAAAAATCCACAAGAACCTACCTGAAAAATAACTAAAGCAAGAAGCAAGATAAAATAGAGAGCTGGAGTGGTAGAGCACCTGCCTAGCAGGCTTGAGGCCCTGAGTTCAAAGCCCCATACCGTACCAAAAAACAAATAAACAAACACAATGAAGAACACTGCACACCCATTAGAACAGAGAAAATCCAGAATGCTGACATGGACTGCTAGCCAGGACACGGAGCAACGGAAACCTTGCTGTGTCGGCGGGGTGCAGATTGGCACAGCCAGTGTGGACGACAGTTCTGCAGTTTCTTATAACACCAAGCATGTTCGACCACAGCATCTAGCCATTGTCCTCCTTGTTAATTAGTTGGGAACTTGTCACACGAATGATTATGCCAGCTTTATTCACCATTGCCAAAGCTTGGAGGCCACCAAGATGTCCTTCAGTGAGTAAATGAAGAGCCTGGCGTTTCCATGCAGAGAACTGTCACAAGGGGTAAAAAGGATTGAGATGTCCAGCTGCACAAAGGCACGGAGGAGCCTTGAGTGCATATGGCTGGGTGATGCTAGCCGATCTTCAAAGGTCATGCAATGTGATTCCAACAGTGACATTCTGGAAAGACAAAAAAGTTGGGAGAAAATGGTGGCAGGAGCAGTGGTGGCAGGACCGGGGAGGGAGGGCGAGCAGCTGAGCACAGAGGGGCAGACCGGGCACTGCTCTGGACACCGTGAGGCTGCAAACATGTCATTGCACATCAATGGACTGTCCAACACCAAGTGAACCCTGGTGTCAGCTGTGCACTTCCAGTGACAGTGACGTGTCAAGGTTGGCTCATTGGTTGTGGCAAGAGCTCTGCTCTGGTGTGGGATGAGTGTGGTGTGTGTTGGGGGTGGAGAAGGGGGACTGTAAAGTTAAAATATCTAAAACCCAAGTCTGTTAAAAATGTTTATGGCTGTCTACATGCCAGGCACAGAGAAACCAATTGTCCCCGCCTTAAAAAGATCCCAGTTTAGTGACCATTCTCCATGTCTGGGTGATCCCCCCTGCACCCTCCACCGCATATAGGGAGTCCCACAATCAAATATCACCCATGGGAACAGTGTGGCCGTGACCCACCTCAGGGGAGTCCCTGCACTGCCCGGGGATCACCTGAATTCCCAGCTCTCCCCGGCTTCTGAAGCTGGTCAGCAAACTCTGTCTCCATTGATGGTATCTGGAAATGACTTCCTAGGTGTTAACGCCTGGTCCTCTTCCCTCTAGTGAGAGGAGCCTGAGAAGCTCTGGAATAGTCCGTGGCCATGGATAAAACCCTTGACTGTTTCTTCTGGTGCAGTGGCCAAGGATGTCCCGTGCATTTATTTCAATAACAGAGACCTGGGGTCAAAGTCAGGACTTGGTTTAGATAGCATGGGAATAAGGAGACAGAGAGAGAGAGAGAGAGAGAGAGAGAGAGAGAGAGAGAGAGACTTTAGAACTCATCATCGTGCAAAGGCTTGCATAGGAACCCCTCTGTGGTCCGTCAGTCTTTTTAGACATGGGCAGGTCTGCTCTGCTTACCAGTGGACACTCACACCTACGTCCTCTGCTTCTTCACCTGTCTTGCCCAGCACCGAGGACATCAAGGAGAACGTGCTGACGATTTTGCTGGGTGTCCTGGTTTCCCTCCTGGGCTTCCTGACTCTGAACCGAGGTTTCTGCCAGGACCTGTGTGTACCGCTCTTCTGCCTGGTCATGGCCAGCTGCCAGTACTCCCTGCTCAAGGCAAGACACACCTACCCCACCAGCACGTGATCCCCGGCACAGCCGTGCCATCATGAGGTGACAGGTACTCTGTTTTGTGTTTCAGAGCGTGCAGCCTGACCCCGCCTCACCAATACACGTAAGTCTCCATGCAGGTAACCATCTTGTCTTGATGCTGCACTGAAGGTCAGGAGAGGCCAAAGCACCTGCACCTGCACACAACTGCACCTACACCTGCACCTGCACCTGCACCTGTATCTGCACCTGCACACACATGCACCTGCACCTGCACACACCTGCACCTACACCTACACCTGCACCTGTATCTGCACCTGCACCTGCACCTACACCTGCACCTACACCTGTATCTGCACCTGCACCTGCACCTGTATCTACACCTGATCCTACACCTGCACCTGCACCTACACCTACACCTGTATCTGCACCTGCACCTACACCTGTATCTGCACCTCCACCTGCACCTACACCTACACCTGTATCTGCACCTGCACCTGCACACAGCTGCACCTACACCTGCACCTGCACCTGCACCTACACCTACACCTGTATCTGCACCTACACCTGCACCTGCACCTGCACCTACACCTGTATCTGCACCTACACCTACACCTGTATCTGCACCTACACCTACACCTGTATCTGCACCTGCACCTGCACCTGCACCTGCACCTGCACTTGTACCACCAACACCTGCACCTGCACCTGTATCTGCACCTGCACACACCTGCACCTACACCTGCACCTGCACTGGCACCTGCACACACCTGCACCTGCACCAACACCTCACCTGTACCTGCACCTGCACCAACACCTACACCTGCACCTGTATCTGCACCTGCACCTGCACCTGCACACACCTGCACCTACACCTACACCTGCACCTGCACCTGCACCTCCTCCTACACCTACACCTGCACCTACACCTGCACACACCTGCACCTGCACCTCCTCCTACACCTGCACCTGCACCTGTATCTACACCTGATCCTACACCTGCACCTGCACCTGCACCTATACCTGCATCTTGGGTGTTTAGGGAGAAGTATCAGTAGAAATCCATGTGCATGGCGGCCTTGCTCTGGCTGGGTCTGAGTGTGTAGTGAGGTGACGTTGCTCAGGCCAGGGCAGAGTCCAGGGGGAAGGCCATGCTTATTATGAAGACCCACAGCCTGGTGGGGCATCTGCAGACTGCCATCAGACCGCCTGCCTTTGTTTCCCATAATTCCTCCACTTGATGTTTGTCACTGAGCATGATGTTGGGCCTCCCCATGCCTCAGTTTCCCTATGTGTAAATAAGGCTGATAAAATGTCTGTAGGGATCGAATACTGTATGCAATGTGCTTAGAGCAGTGTCTGGCACTTCACAATTGCTCCACAGGTGCTAGCTGTTGTCCATACTTATGTCAGCGAGGCAGGCATGAATCACTCTTGTTCTCTAAAACAATTATTGTATAAGTTTTGGGGTGAAATATGGTAATTTGATATATCTGTACATTGTGCAATGACTAAATCAAGGTAATTAACATAGTCATCACCTCACATACTTATTTTTCTGGCGAGGACATTTAACATCTGCACTCAGCGTTCTTCAAGTATACAATTGTGACTGTCACTGCTGTCACTGTACCGTGTAATATTCTGCCAGAACCTTTGTACCCTCCCACTGATATCTCCCTGCCCTCCCTCCATTATCCCCTGCTGACCCCATTCTGCTCTATGCTTCTGTGAGTTCGATGTTTTACATCCGTAGGTGAGTGGGATCATGCACTCCTTGCTTCTAGGTGGCTGGTTTACTTTTAGCATGGCATCCCCCGGCTTTTCCACACTCTTGAAAATAGCAGGATTTCCTTCTTTAAAAAGCTTGAGTAGTAGTGTGCATCTGTACACGTGCATGTGTGTACATGTGTGCACGTGTATATAGATGTGCAGACGTGTGTATGTGTGTACAGGTTTATGTGTGTGTGTGTGCACATATACATGCCTGTGCATATATGTGTGTATGCACACACACCTTGTTTGTCCATTCATCCATCCACAGCCACATAGGTTGTGTCAATACCTTGGCCACCTGAATACCGCAGTACTGAATGCAGGCGTGCACACGCCTCTTCCATGTCTGTTTTCATTTCCTTTGGATGTAGACCCAGAAGCGGGAATGCTGGGTAGGTCCTGTCTACTTTTTTGACGCCTCTCTATGGTGTTCCATCACGGCTGTACCGCCAAAAGTACACGGTGTTCCCTCTTCTCCATCTCCTTACCAGAACTTTCATCTTTTTGATAAATGCTTTTTTTTTTTTTTTTGGTACTACTGGGGTTTGAACTCAGGACCTCATTCTTGTTAGGTAGGTACCCTTACCACTCTACCTGCCCTGCTTTGTGTTGGATATTTTTTAGATAGAGTCTCATGAACTATTTGCCTGGGGCTGGCTTCGAACTGTGACCCTCCTGATCTCTGCCTCCTGAGTAGCTAGGATTACAGGCATGAGCCACCAGGCCCTGACTAATAAATGCCTTTCTAACAGGCATGAGCTGATACGTACTGTGGTTTTACTTTGCATTTTTTTTGGATGTGAGGCTGGTGTATTCCACATCCTCAAGTGCACTGTTACCTCTTATTCCGTGCCTTCAATCTGGTCTGTAACAGAAACCCTGGACTCTCCCTTGCCAACCTGTTGTGCACTGACATCCTCCCAGGAGCTCTGATGCACACGTGGCTCCTTGGGCCCAGCTGCTCCAGTGGCCTGAAGAGGCTGTGGGTCAGACCCCTCCCTTGCAGTCACCCAGCCATGTGCCTTTTTGAGGCACCCACTGCTGGGTGGCCTCCCAGGCTACCTGAGCATCTCCTGCCTTTGTCACAGCAGACACTTGTGGACCCCTGAAGCCCCTCTGATGAGAGAAAACAGGACCTTCCTTCTACTATGCTTTTTAAAAATTCATATCCAGGATTTAGGACTGACTCATAGTCTGTGCTCACTCACAGTAATTAAGGAAGCTCATAATTGGATGATCACATACCATAGATACTGTCTTGTTAAATTCCTCTGTCCCCCGTAATTGGTTTACATATGATATGTCTTCTTTTATCCTGGATTCAGAATGTCGAGATAAGCAGAGGCTGTGTAATTAGGGGATTAAGATGTATTGTTGTGATTATCATCAGGACGGAGTGGGTGGTGGGTGGGAGGCTGCAGCTCTGAAGGTTTGGCTGCAACCCACTTCATTGTCACTGGGGTTGTGTGTGACTTGGAGGAGAGCTGTTACCTACCATTGGACATTCAGTTTCCTGCCTGTGCTTCAGAAATGATGCAGGATGTGCCAGGATTGGTGTGGCAAGCCTGCTGTACACTCCAGGTGGATATGCTGTCTGCTACTGTGATCCCCAGGTTGCTGCACTGGCAGGTGTCATATTGTCTGGTTCCTGGAGAAACAGACCAAGGTGTTGCTCTGTCATCATAGCGAGAGAGGGAGAAGAGACTTTTCTTACTGTCAGACACCCAAGTGTGTTCATTGTAGTAATTAATTCACTTACATGGGTTTCTAAGGAGATTAAACTCTGAGCTGGCATTTCTTCTGTAATTCTAATGAAGAACGCAAAGAGGGGAGGTAGGAAATGTTTCTTCTTGCCATCCGACCGAACTATGCAGACATTTAGAAGGCAGGTTTGTGATCTTCAATTGATGTAGATGAGAAAACTTGAGGAAGGCCATGGTCAAGGGAGAGAGCAGAGGATGGGCACAGAGCCGGTTCTCCACCCTGCTGCCGGCTCCAGCCCTGGCCAATTGCCCTTCATAAGGCTGGCAAAGGGATTAGACTGCTTTTCCAACTAAGCCACTCTGCACTTGTGGGGAGGTGGCAGTAATACACTCAGTGCTTCCTCTGAAAGTGGTTGACTGGCTTTTTCCCTTTGGCATGGTTCCAGGAGCACAGGTGGCCAATGCTGGGCAAGTGTTAAAGCCCGGAGAGTACTTCACCCTCCTGCCTTGGCTCCCTCTTGTCAGAATGAGTGACGTGTGTGCTTCCCAGGTGTTCTGAGGATTAGTCTGGTGGGTGCATTTGAAGGAGTAGAGCAGTGAGTGTAGGAAGGGCAGGTCAAGGTCAGCCATCCTCACTGCTGTGTTGGTCACATTAGTCATCCAACATGACTGGACCTGTGAGTGTGACTGAGGCAGGAGCTTGTACATGCTCAGCTTGGTAGTTGTGAGGTGGCACTTCTGTCCCGTGGAATGAGGTCTTGGAGCTGGTGCATGTGGGGAAGCTGGGATGAGCTGGTGCCTGGTCCGGCTGTGGGCAGCCTCCCTTCTGTACCCCTGAGGGCCAGCTGCTCCCCAGCTCTTCTCTGATTCCCTCAGACACCTTGGCTTCCTTGTAATAAAATCCTGCTTTTTTTTCTTAGCAGTAAAACTTGCAAAGCATCTGAGCATCCACCCTTTTCCTAAGAGGACATTAGGCACGGTGTTCACTTAGCACATAGGCAGCTGGGATTCTTTTGGGGGGTTCTTGTTGATTCCCTCACTCTTCACCACACTTCCACCCACAAGACCTGGAGTGTGATGTGGGTAGGGCGACAGGAAACCCACCTGCACGCCATCAGCCCAGGTGCGCACCCTGGCAAGGCATCCCATGACATCCATGGTGCTTCCCACTGCAGCTTTGGGGTTAAAAACAAGATGTGGAACGACTGAGTCCAATGAATTTTTTAACAGACTAAGAGCAGACATCACCCAGTGGTGCAAGTGGAGTTTTTCTAATAAAAAAAAAAAAAACTTAAAAAAAAATCAGCCCTTTTGGATCTGATGACTGATTCATGAGTGAATTCAGCACCTGCAGAGCAGGGAGTTTGTTTGGAGGTGTTCTTAGGAATCAAGGGAAAAGAAGGGATTTTGTGCTGTGTCTTAGCAATGTGCTTAGGATAGTAGTTTGGGGACCCAAAACACAGGATGGGAAAGCTAGGACATGCATGGATGCCGAGCAGAGGGTAAATTTCTTGGAGGGGGTGTCATCAGTTTTCTTTTGTAAATTACTAATAAAAAAGTTGCATCCTCATCTCTGAGGACAATTCCAAAGGAGATCTCAAACTATCCAAGGCCAAAGACTTTCAGTTCCTAGATAATGTATTTTAACCTCTAATAAAGGGAAAAATTAAAGCAAGTGCAAGATAGCCTTTCCATCAAATTCCCTAAACTGTGTCGGTGTGAGAAATGTGTCCTACACATGTGTGTCTGTGTACCTCGCAGCTATTTATAGCAGCTAATTTATTTTGCTGGTCACTTGGTAAGTGTATTTAGATTTTTAGTTTTATAGTTTTCATGCAAAGAAAATATTCCCATACTCATTAATCTGTTACCTAGTTGGATTCAAAAGAAAATTCCCTACAAGTGAAAATATTTTTCACACCCAAGCGTGGTCCCAGGACCAAACACAGCCATCATCTATGGAGATCCTAGCATCGTCCTTCCTATTGAAAGACAGTCCCCAATTAGGACGACTTCTCTTTTAGAATTTAAATTGCACGTCTCCATAGTACAAGTTCAAGGCAAAGACTTATGATTGAAACCGCCCCACTTCAACCTCCACGTCTTATGTTCAAGATAGTTCATGAATTGCAGAATATACTTTTCCCTCAATTCATTTTTGTCAGCCTTTCGAATCTTACGAATTGGGCGTTGATTTGTGAGATGTGGCTTCTTGCTGACTTGCTCAAGGAAGTCAATGTCACATTTCTCCTTAACTTTCCTAGCCTGTTGAGGAGAACAGTTCTACTTCTCCTTATAACAATATTTTGAGGTTAAGGTGAGAGTCACAAGATGGTTGCTTCCTTTCAGAGGAAAGTGCCGTGCAAATAGTCAAAATACCAAGTTTCTTAAAAAGTGGAACTACACCACCATGCTTGGAGACAAGGGACGTCATCTCTGCAGGGAAAGCTTTGCACCTGTGATGTCTTGGTTTCTAAGACTCAAAGGCACCATAGCCCACAACCTGTCATTCTATTTCAAATCAACAGGGGGGCCCAGGTTAGACCAGGTAGAGCAAATAAGGTTTAAATGAGTTTTGCACTTGGAATGAACCCAGTGAACGTAAGTCGCACGGTTGAGGACAGAATTGAATTCGATCTAGATTTTCTGCATGGATGGTAATTCAATTGTTAGGTGAATCTTGTCAGAATTGAAAAGCATAGCATTCTTTTTGATTATTTCCATTCAGATTTGACAAAACACGCATCAGAACGTTTTTTTCCCCTTTCCCTTTCCTGGTATTTGTGTACGTGGATTCTGGCAGGGCAGGAGGGAGGGTGTGTCACCTGGTATAAGTTGTATTACGTGGTGTGAATTATTGGCTGTGAGGCTTTGTCACTTCATCAAAATAAAATGTACAATTCAGAGATTGTATTTGTTTTCTAGGGACACAACCAAATCATAGCCTACAGCAGACCGGTCTATTTCTGTGTGCTGTGTGGTCTCATTCTGCTTCTTGATACAGAGGCCAAAGCCCAGCACCCTCCCCGTTTCATGGTGTATGGCCTGAAGCTCTTCTCTCCGGAGTCCCTGCAGGTGGCGAGGGACTGCTTAATAGGTGAGTGCATCTCAGACCATGGGAAAGAGTGTCAGGGAGGCTATGCCTCATTACCTGGAGACTCCTGCTTACTGGATGAGGCATTTCCTGTCTGGGTGCCCAGGCTCCCCCATGTCCAACAGCTAGTTCCTTTCACAGGATTTAATGTCTATAACCAAGAAGTTGCAGTCCAGTGACATCTGAAGTAGAGGCTGTGGTGATTACTGGGTGGCCTCGCCATCCTGGCAGGCCTCAGCCCTGCCCACGTGCACAGATGTTCTGGTCACACACAGCACAGGTGGGCTCTTCCCTCAGCCCACCTGTGGGAACCCAGGGGCCACCCATCTTCCTCCAGTGCACTGGGATTGCCTTAAAATCCAGGTAGTGTTTGCTGTGAAATGAGCCACTCGAGTGAGTCACCAGCTTATTGTATGGTTTAGAGCCTGGACTGGATTCTGGGCCAGCCAGCCAGCTGCTTGGGTCCCCATCCTGCTAAATCACTAAATAAGTGACTATTCCACTGTAATGTGGGACCAAAACATGGCCCGCCTCTAAAGTAACTGTGGGCTTCAAGTGAGTTCATCTACATGGCATCCAGAACCACGCCCAGCAACAAGAGTCAACTGATAGCCATTATTTTGCAAAGAGCCTGGCAGCGTTGATCTCAGCTCTGAAGACTCTAGGGCACGTGCTATGGGGATTCTTGGGTTGACAGTGAGGGTTTACACACTTGTTAAGGTGGGCTGTGACATCTTGACCAGTGGAACTGATAAAGACAGCTCCAAAGACACCAGCCTGGTTCTCTGGCTTGCTTGCTAGAAGTTGGACTCAAGGGGCTGCCCATCACCCTTTCCATGACCCCAGCTCTGCCCCTGACAGCAACCTGAGTCTTTCCAGTGAAACTGGGGAGGGTGCCCAGGTATGGAGCAAGCTTTCTCTGTGCTCAGGGTAGGGAGAAACTTTGGTGGGAAATGTTGCCGTCAGGCCTCCTTCCCAGCTGCCATCTCCCCGTTCCTCTTCTGCTGCATTGGTGTCACGCTGTCCTTCCTGCCTGATCCCTGCAAGCTGCCACTGTGTGCAGGTGGCACACTCTTCCTGGTATACCGGGGGAGGAGCAGATCAGCTTCTTAATACCCAGGACTCAGGTGCCAGAACCTCAGAGTTCAATTTGGAATCAGAAACCCATCCCAACAATGAACACCCAGTTGGTGTCTTCCCAACAAGTGTTTGCGTCTACCCTTCACGAGAATTTCTGCTTTACTCTGTATTATTACTTGAAGTGTCCACACACACACACACCCCAAGGCTTCAGTCATTTTTACCTTCTCATGATTCAGCTCACCCTCCTTCTTCCAAGGTCAGCTGCAATGGAGAAGCCACTGTTTTCAATGACAGATGGAGACACCCAGTCACAACTGCACACGCTTTGGAGTGCCATCCTTTCTTACCATCTTTTTCCTAACAGCAGTGCTAGAGTCCACCGCTCAAGGTCACACAGGAGCTGGCAATCAGAAGCAGAGAGGCAGGGAGAATTTGGGAATGTATCTATGTCCAAATGCTACCTTTTCCTTTGTCACACCCACATCCACCTCATCTGCCTCATGGCCACCTTTTCCCTGGACCTCTAGTGTGGAATAGGATTCATATTCCACATCTTACAGAAACAAGGATGTGTGCCCTGGAGCCCTAACATGGTGGCCCTTGCTCATGTCACCCTGAGAACCTCTGGGCACTCTGCTGTCCCTCTGCCCTTGCCAAGCTAGCCTTTGGTCTCACAATGATGAGTTCCACTTGTGGTGTTGGATTCACTTCTTCTCCCTCTCCAGCTTATCTGCTCAGTGAAGGCGAGGCAGAGACCCCTGCCTGCCTTCTCACCACTGAATTCTGGGTCCCCCCACCCTATGGTGTCTGGTGTCCACAGCACCAGATAAGTGTTCAGGAGGGATGTATGAACTGAAGAACATGGAAGTAGCCTCTGGGTGCTAAAGGAATTAATGCGGAAATGAGCTTTTGTGCAGGACCCACTCCTCACCCAGGGGGGCTGCACCAGCTCCACCCCTGCTGCCTTAAGATGCTCTGCTTGCAGAGGATCTGTGCAAAGAGACCCTGGAAGAAAAGCATGGGACATATTCCACTTACAAATGTCTCTTCTGTGCACCGCCCCTCCCTCAGCCCTGTTTTTCTCTAATTTACAGCATCATTGAACAAATGTAATGTCCCGGTGGGGCCAACTTACTGTGGCATGAGAACCTGTGTCATTTAGGCTCAGAGAGGAGGAGTAATGTGCTCAGTGAAAGCTTCAGACTGTTCATTAGCAGTGGCCCGGGTCCTGGGATAAGCAACCGACATTCCCTGCTTGCTTTCCTTCAAATCCGTCCCCCTGGGAATGAGGCGCAGGGAATATGGTGTTTTTATCTTTGTCACTGGAATCTCCTCCCCTCGCAAAGGTTTCCCCACACATGTTTGTCTGCTTGTCCACAGTGACAAGGAAGGACTATGGTGAATAATCCAGCAAGCCGAGTAAATGACTTCTGAGCCGAAGATAAATAGAAAGCTAGATAAACAGCAATCCCCACGGAATGAGTGCATTAAATGTGCTAATTTGCACTGAGCAGAAAGACTGAAATGCATGGAGTACAAATAAGGAAGGAAAGAAAGGCTTTGACTGTGTATTGAAAGTCATGTCTGCTCCTGGGACCTCTTCATGCCCCCCCCCAACCTGGCCGGGAGGGGACTGAGAAAGTGCATAACTGTCACCATTGTTCCATTCTGGCACCAGCAAGGAGAGGAGGAAAATTAGGGAAAACCAGAAAGCTAGCAGGAAGGGACTGGAGAGTATTGCTCTCCTGGGGCTGCAGTGACAATGTATCACAGACCCACAAGCTGGGTGGCTTGGAACAACAGGAATGTGTTGTTTCACAGTCTGGAATGGGATGTCCTAGATCAAGGTGCTGGTAGGGCTAGAGGTCTCTCCTCTGTTGCAGATGGTGCCTTCTCCCTGTGATATCACATCTTCCTCTGTGCCTGTCAGAGTCCACATTTACCAGTCACACTGGATTAGGGCCCCGACAGACCCCAATACTCTGACATCATCAGCAAAGGTGCCATTTGTGGTGCTGGCTGGAGCTGCTCCTCCTCAGGCAGGAGCTGGGGATGTGATGTTTGTGGCAGAATGCTTGCTGCTGACATGTCTGTCACCCACCAGTCTTCGGCGGGAGGGGGAGATGGCAGAGGAAGAGGAATAGGACAGAGCAAGGATGTCGGGTTGCCCGCTCTCAGAGTAGAAGGGGCCATTGCCAGTCAGAGGTAGGGAAGCCAGGTGGAGAGGCGGTTATGCTTTCATCATGTATAATGCCAGACAAGAACATCTCAAAGGCGGAAATGATGTCAGATGACAGAAGATGGGAGGAGGAGAAACTCGGGTGAATTAGGAGATAGACAACCCAAGGATCACATTCTTATCTTCTTTTTCTTTCATTATCTTTACATATTCAGAATATCACTCTGCATTTCCCCTGCTTTATAAGGACAAATTCCTTATTTTCTCTCCCAGGAACGGGGTGAACAGCCTCCTCAGGCAGCATTCAGTTCCTGTGCTCAGGTAGAAGGTGACCTTGGGATTGGCCTTTTTTTTACTTTTCACTTGAGTAACTTTGGCAAAAGCCTATGAGTGAGACTGGCTTTGTAGTTGTCCTATGGGTGAGGGAGCCAAAGACACTCAGTTCTTAGGATCCCGTTCCAGGGGGCAGGGCCTGGCAAGTGAAGCCACGTGGGCTCCACAGGGCTCTGTAAAGGCACAGGTTAGAGGTACAGAAGGGGAGGGGAGGGACTGGTGCTTTGTGACAGCTGCAATAACCAGTCCCTGTGAGTGGCAGCTGGCCCAACTCTCAGTACAAGGGGGATCTGCAGGATGGCTTGGGACAGAGCCAATCCAGGTAGTGTGGCCCACCTGGGGAAGCAAAGAGCCCCTAATATGGGAGGGTTCAGGTGGGATGGCACGGCCACTGGTGCAGCTGTGCTCCATGTGTGGGATGAGTTGCTTCTCTGGTTCTTATCAGATGTGAGTTTTCTGTTTGGTTTTAGGACAATGAACCCATCTGCATAACACAGCTTCAATCACAGAACCTAGAGACGAGTGCTGCCCTTGTGCCAGTGGCTGGATCAGGATCAGATCCCCTTCCCTGAACCCTCAACCACACACTGCATGTCTCGTACGAAGCCTTGCTTCCTGCCTCAGTGGTCCATTCACACGAGGACCCTTAGTTCATGCACAGATAAGGCAATACATGCCCGGTGATTGTCACCGTTCATATTTAATTAAAGAAATAAGTGTAAGCTGCAACATTTTTACTTGTGAATTTCGCTTGAAAATTTTGCTTGGAACTGAACCAGAAGTTTCCACATTCACAGCAAATACCAGGGTAAATAAGGAGGAAGGAAAAACATGGGAGAAGCCCGTGCACTCACAGAAAATGCATGTTCATAGGTCTTCGCTCTGGGGAAAGAGGACAGACTAATTTTAAGTGCGGTTTTCCAGCAGCCCGCGAAGCGGCAGGCCTTTGCATGCTATTCCATCCCTCGGGCACAGCTTGGTGATGAAGAACATGGACTCCATCTTCCTTGCGTGCTTGCTCCTTGGCTCTTCTGCTGGACACTGGCGCTTTCCTTCCCAGGATATTCTGGAGAAGGTCCTGGTGGGGGCCACCCTGCTGACTGCTGTCCTTCCTGCTGCTTCTGTACTCACGCCCACCCTGGTGATGGTTTTCTGGGGTCTCTGTCTCTTGGCTTTGCTGTGCTGTGCTCACCGTGCTCTGCTGCTCTTCTTGGCTTCCCTCTGCCCCAGCCCTGAAAGTGGAGGGTGCACAGCACACGACGTCTCTGAGCTGGACTCTGAGCTCCTAAGGGAAGGGAACAGAAACCGCTCAGTTTGTTTAAAGTTACGGGGATTAAAATGTTGAAGTCCTTCACCGTGTGTTCTGGGCATGTGTCACCTTTCTCTTGCTGTGACAAAATGCCTCCCCTTAAAAGAGGTGGGGTTTGTTTTGGCTCACAGTTTCAGAGGGTTCAACTCACGGTCACTTGAACCCGTTGTTTCTGGGCCTGTGTTGAGGCAGAACGTCAACGGTGCCGAGGGTGTCACCGAGAAAAGCCGCTCACCTCATGGTTGCCAGGAAACAGAGAAAGAAGGGGCGAGAACGAGATGTCCCCTTCAAGGGTTCATCCCTGGTGACCTACTTCCGCCAACTAAGCCCCACCTCCTAAAGTGTCCACCACCTCCCCATAGCTCCGCAGACTGGGGACCAAGGCGTCCGCACGCGAGCTTTGAGAAATGCCCTTGACCTCAACAAAGCGTTCAGAGTTAAAGTGTGGCTGGTTTCTTGTGTCTTTCTTTTCAAATCTCTGGATGCCATCCATAAAGACTGAGAAAGACACCCGCCTCCTACACTTCCATCTAGCAGACATGTTTGTGTGTCACTCCCATGGAGGGATGAGCTGTGACCAGGTGCTGCGTCAGTCAGCGCTCCGTCACCACGACCAGCACCTGAGAGATCAACTGACAAAGAGAAGCCACCCGTTGTGCCTCATGGTTGTAGAGGATTTGGTCTGCAATGGGTTGACCCTGTTGCTTTTGGATGAGGCAGCACGTCATGGCCAGGCAGGACATGGAAAGAAAGAGGAAGATCCCAGGGCCACACTGTCTCCTTCAGTGACCTGAAGACCTCCTACCAGGCCCTACCTCAAGGGTCTCACCACCTGTCAATAGCACCAAGTTGGGACCAAGTCTTGAACACATGGCCCTTCAAGGGACAGCACAAGCTGTATGCGAGTTAGGGTCTTACAATAGAGTTACGGTCTTGCCACAAAAACATTACAACAAAATCGTCATGTAGGAAAACTTGGCTCAACCCAACCCAAGCAGAGGCCCCGTGATCACAGCCTCAGAGCCAGCCAGGGTCATTATCCCAGAGCTGGTCTAGTTCCCCTGTTGAAGAGAATTGGCCTATACTTTTTTTTTTTTTTTTGCAGTGCTGGGGTTTGAACTCAGGGCCCGGTGCTTGCTAGGCAGGTGCTCTACCACTTGAGCCACATCCCCAGTCCTTTTGCTGTGAGTTTTTAAAGATAGGATCCCATTCGTTTGCTCTGCCAGCTTCAGACCTCTCTCCTCTTCTCAAGTAGCAGGATTATAGGCGTACAACACCATGCCTGGCTTGGTTGTTGAGATACGGTCTTATTAGCTTTTGCCTGGGCTGGCCTGAAACTGTGGTCATCCTGTCTCCTCCCATGCAGTTGGGATTACAGGTATGTGCTACCGTACCCTGCTCCTGCCATACTTATCTTTTAACCTGATTAGAGAAAAAGGACATACAAAACTCTCATTCCTACGATCTCTCTGTGAAAGAAAAAGAGCTGAAACACTGCCTTATCTTTCCTCTCCCATAGCTCCTGGGGTTTGTATAGTTTTAGGACCCAGTTCCAGTGTCTACACGGATTGGATTTCAAGTCAACTTTCCTCCATTTATTAAGGCTTAACAGAATCAAACTTCATTGCCATCTGCTCAGTAACCTGAGTCAGGAGGAAAGACGGTTGCATGGTAGTCCCGTCAGTGGGACTGCTGCATCTGTGACACCGGCTCGGAGAGAGAAGCAGGAGAGAACAGCAGAGGTGCCGGTAGAAAATGCAGCTCTCCTGCTGTCTTCTGCGAGGCGCTGAACAATAACCGACAAGGGTTTCAGCAGTGTAGAAGTGCACTGTTAGGATGGCGGAAGGTGGCATGCTTGTCCTCGTCTCCAGGTGGCCCTGCCCACTTGGAATCACTGAGTTTCTCAGTGCCACTCGAGAGCAGTGGGTGCTGACTCCCCCCAGTTCCCATGGATGTTGGGATGTAGTGGGCTGGTAGTCACTTGAATGCTGAGACACCAGGCATGGTGACCTGCTCCTCTTCCTGCTCACACTCCCATGCAGAAAGAGACCCTGTACTACTGTCTCTTGTTTCTGCTGCTTCCTGGGGTTTTCTGTCTTTTCCCCTCCCTCTCTCATCTCCCCTAAACCCAGGTCTGTTCTTCCATGCTGCAGGTGGCTCTGCTCTCTTCCTCCCATTACTGTTCCCTGATCAGGGCCAGCCCTGGTTACTTCCAAAGCCTCCAGTGGCCTGAGAGAGAAGTCTGGCAATGCCTCAGTTTCCCCGGGCAGGGTGGGGGATCTGGAAGGGGAAGAGGCAGCTTGGCCTCAGTCACCTCGCTTGGAGTCCATCATCAATTTTCTTTGTTTTCAGTATTTTTATATTGCTTCCCTGTGATCTCCCTCCTCGGGCTCTTCCCCCAAATCAACACCTTCTGCATGCACCTTCTGGAACAAGTCGACATGCTGCTTTTTGGAGGTTCCGGTAAGTCACCTGCCTTCTGCTCCTCCTGGGAAGATGAGAGCCTGACATGAGGTCTGCTTTGTCCTAAGCCATTCAACCACTTCAGTTTGGGTCCCCTGTGGGGTGGGGATGGAGTGTTCCAGGGTCATCCCACAGAATCAGAAGGGGAGAGGCCGGCCAGCATGGTAAGTGAAGTCACGGTGAAGAAACAAGCAAAGAATGTGGAATGGATTTGGGGGTCCTCTGAACTATTCCTTAGAAAAAGCCCGTGTGCGTGTGTGTGTGTGAGGGGGCCGGGGGACAGGTTATAAATGAGTGCATGAGTGTGTCCCTGAGGTCTGTACGTGTATGTGTGTGTGACAGACAGAGAGAGAGGTTAGAAGTATATGCCCAAGTGTGTCCCTGAGGTCTGTGTGTGTGTGTGTGTGTGTGTATTTGAGGCCAGGTGTGTATCAGTGTGCGTGTGTGTTGTGTGTACCTGTGAGCCCGTGCCCCCTCCTCCATGCTGTGTGTCTGCACCATCCTGTAGGGTGGCTGATGGGGCTGCTCCTCAGCTCCAGATGTTCAGGTGAACAGTCGGTCACTTCCCCGCACTCACTGTCACCCTGTGTGTCTCAGTGACCCCACGGATTGACTTTGTACTCCTGGCAGGAAGTTCATGTCTGAAAGCCCCGACTTCTCTCAGCGTTCTTCTCAGCGTCTCCCTTGCCGTTTGTCGGTTTGGGCGATGGCCGGTGTGGAAGGGGTTTTTCTTTGTGTTGCAGCCGTTTCTGGGATCGTGTCGGCGGTGTACAGCGTGGGCCGGAGCGTGCTGGTGGCAGCCCTGCTGCACGCCCTCTGCTTCAGCGCGGTGAAGGTAGGCGTGCGCCTCTGCATTCAGCCAGCAAACAAGTGTTGCCTCCAGTGATAAAAGAAATGGGGGGGACGGCAGAGGGGCTCAAGTGCTGCAGCGCCTGCTTAGCAAGCGTGAGGCCATGAGGTCAAACCCCAGTGCCTCCAAAAACAAAAAAGAAACGGGACCTGCGCCACAGAGAGGTGACAGGGCCTGGCGAGGCGAGCCTCACTTGGTGTCACAAGACAGGTCAAAGTGCCTGGCTTGCCATGGTGCGTGGGCCCTGCCTGGCCTCACTGTGTCTGTGATGTCTCTCTGCCAGTCAGTCAGCAGTGACCTGGGGCTGGTGGGGATGGGAAGCATCTCAACAGGGAGTCAGTGCGCCAATGAAACCATGTCACTTCACTTCCTTCTGGAAAACCAGAACAGGGCAGGGATCCAGTTGCAGGAAGCTGTGTGGACAGAGCAGGACAGATTGGACAGCCACCACACTTCAGAATCGAGAGGACAGATGGACTGTAGATTCAGCCAGATGGAGAAGAGCAGAGCCTGGACCACGGCCAAGGAGCCCGAGGTGATGAGAAAACACGAGAACGCTGACTTCAGAAACACAGAGAGTCAGATCAGCAAAGAAACAACCATGGCACACACACAGCCCAGCCTCGGCCCAGTTGTATACTTACAAGGACCTAAGTGACCATCACGTGGTGTCTGTCATGGAGGGACAGGCTGGAGAACAGTAGAGGAGGAACTCTAAATCCTTCTTCTTATGGGAAAGTCAACAAATAATGTCTGAAATGGAAAAGAAGTCAAGAACTCACAGAAGAGTTGTGCTTGTTGGAAACAGGCAAATGGAAGAAGAGACAGCTGAAAGCCACTTCCTGGAGAGCAGGAGTTGGGGAAGGGACGGTGTCGCAGGCCCTGTGATGGACACAGTGCTATAAGGAGACAGGATGCCCTGAAGTCCAAAGAGGACAGAACCCAGGTCTTCAGGATGCCTTCAGCCAAGCAGAAAATAAGCTGATATTACAGGCATTTGTGGACCATGTGGACCCTGCACTTAAGGCTTTTTAAAATTGTACACTTTATTTTACTTTTTAGATTAGCAAATGCACACGGTATATATTTATATGGTATATATATATATGGTAGTGGGGTTGAACTCAGGGTCTTGTGCTTGCTGGGCAGGTACTCTGCTACTTTAGCCACCACCTCTTTTTGTTTTAGTTATTTTCAGACAGGGTCTCACACTTTTGCCCAGGGCCGGCCTCAGAACTCAATCCTCCCACCTTTACCTTCTGCCTAACTAAGATTACAGATGTGTACCCATACCTGGCTTGCTTTTGGAGATAGGGTCTTGTTAACTTTTTTGCTTATGCTGGTCTCGAGCTACCACCCTTCCGTCTTTTCTTCCTGTGTAGCTGGGACTACAGGCATGAGCCACCATACCTGGAATTAGCATCTATAATTGTGCAAAGGGTTTCACTGTGATGTTTACATACATGCATATAGTAGACTTCAATCAAATTCACCCCCTCTATTGCTCTTTCTTAGCTCCTCTTTTAACAGTTTTAGTGGATTTCCTTGTGCTGTTTTCAAACATATATAAAAGTACTTCAATCATATTCACCCATCACCCTATTCTCCCTTCCACGAGGCCCCCAACAGTCTCCTTTTGTCTTCATGTTGTAGTATTTTTGTTGTTAGCTCTAGAAGCCACATGTAAGTGACAACTTGAGCTATGCACATTTCACGTGTTAAACTGCAGATACCCTTTGCTAAAGCAAAAGCTAAATGCAAAAGAATAAATAAAAAATATGTTCGAGAGTGTATATAAAGCATATGAACGTCTAAAACTAACTTTCAAGAAAGATTATCTAAACTCTAATTAAACTTTTCCTTGCAGAAGGAAAGGAATTGAATATCCCCTCCAGTCCCCGAGTTCACAGCTTAGTTTAGCTGGAAGTCAGTGGCACAATTTCCCTCTGAACTCCTTCCTTCCCTTCCATGTGAGTCTTTTCTCAGACAGGAAGGGAGGGAATAACGGAGGGAGAGAGGAAAGGAGAGAAAGGAGGAGAGGAAGGAGAAGAGGAAGGCTCCACTCTCTGAAACACACATGTAACCTATGTGCTATTTGGTACTGAGTTCATTCTACCACACAGACCAGCATTTCATAATTCATCAGTATTTCTGGTTCTCTCTCTTCCTCTCTTTCCCCCCTCCCTCTTTCTCTCCTTCTCCCCACTTTCCTTTATTCATCCCCAGGGCCTCAGGTACCCATTCAGGAAAGCCCTTGGTGGGTATTTTCTGAGTCCATGGACTTCTGAGGACATTTTTTCTACTGCCTTTTCCTAAAATCATTGCCTATAAAAACGTTGACTCACAGGTTTTCTTGCAAGAACCTTAAAACAGGGCTTTGTTGTGCTCCAGTATTTGTTTGTTGGTTTCTTTGTTTATTATTCATTAGGTAATTTTTGAAGTCAGGTTTACAATGTAGGTTTTAAACATCCATTTTGATAAGTTTTGATCCTCAAAAGTGAGTTACAGAAAATTTCTTCCAACTCAAAGATGTCGCCTGGGTTTCTTTGTAGTCAAAGTCTTCCCAAACTCTGGCCACCAGTGATCTGATGCCTGAAACTTTTTTTGGAATCAAAAGTACATTCTGTCAGGGCACAATGTTCACACAATAAAACCCACCAATTCTAAGACTACAGTTAGAGGCATTTTGGGGGGGTGGGGGATTTGAACGAGGGACTTCACAGGCATTCTACCACTTGAGCTATGCCTCCAGCCCTTTTGCTCTAGTTATTTTGGAGATGGGGGGGTCTCGCTTTTTGCCCAGGCTGACCTGGCCCTCTGTCCTCCTGTTTTAACCTTTCCACCATGGCTAGGATGATGGGGTCACTACCATACCCAGCTTTTTTTCCATTGAGGTGGGGACTTGTAAACTGTTTTTTGCCTAGGCTAGCCTGGAACCTCAATCCTCCTATTTTAGCCTCCTGTGTAGCTGGGATTACAGGCATGAACCACTGCGGCCTGGCTCAGTTAGGGGCATTTTTGGTAGGTGCACACTTTCAGGAAATCACCAGCACGCCATGACAGAACTGTTCACAGTTCTTGTCCTTGTTCCTTCACAGCCAGTTCTCCCTTCACCCAGCATGTTCATGCATCCTAAGAAAACTCCCAGGAGTGAGATTGCCGGGTCAATGGTAAGCCGTGCTCGGCTCGATGACATGTTTGAGGGTGGAGCTAACTGGCCACCTCTGAAGGATGTCCTCTTTTTGGGTCAAGCTCTGAGTGTCATCTCTGATGAATGCTCAGCTTGTGAGGAGAAGGGACTGCGTCTGTCCCTCCTCTCCTGTCAATGTGGTACCTGGCTGACCACCTGGGAGCTCATGAGTCTCCCATGAACCATTGGACTAGAACCTCACCTCCCTAACTCTTGGTCTGCTCTTGTGCCATCTCTGTCAAGCCACATTAGCTTACTCTGACCTTTGGCTTATGGTGAGCCTTTGCCTCTTGCCTCATACTTGTGAGCAGCTAAAACTCATTTCATGTGGAAAATAATTCATTGATCATAGCCATGATGGCATCTGTGGAAAAAGAATATTCCACAGGACTCAAGATGCTTCCTGCAAAGAATCAAGGCCCAAGACTTTGGAGGAGAATCTATTCACCCCGAGAAACCTATTTCACTAAGAATTGCATGGTGGCACACACCTGTAATCCCAGCTACACAGGGCACCCAGGGTAGGAGAATCACGGTCAGAAGCCTGGGCAAAAATACAAGATGCTATCTGAAAAATAACTGAAGCCAAAAGGGCTGGGTATGTAGCTCAAGTGGCAGAGCACCTGCCTAGGAAGTACGAGGCTCTGAGTTCAAACCTCACTACTGCCAAAATGAAAAACAAAACCAAAACCAAATCTAAGATCTGCCAATTCTACTATCGTCAGAAGTAACGTGCACCCTGGGTTGTTCATGGTAGCTCTTGCAAAATTCTTAGAGGCTTTAGAAAGTGTTTAAGAATCTGATATTTAGGCTTCCTGGGTTTTTACCTAGTTGTAGGCAGGCTGGTCTTCCCTTCCCTCCCCAGCCTGGCTCTGTTTTCCTAAGATGCACTGCTGATCCATCCCAGTGTTTTTTCTCACCAAAGTCAGGAGAGCCTGGGGTGTCCAGACAGTGCTGCAGGGAGTCAGTACCGGTGGCAGAGGGCCAGACAGGTCCTGGATAAACTCTCTCTTCTGTCCCGGGCTGGGCCTTTTGTTTATTTCACTTTTCCATTCTGTGTCTGGCATGACAGAGGCCAGAAGTTGTCAGAGTGAGTGGGCTCTGTCTTGAGGTCCCACTGCCCTCTCTGCACTGGAAAGATGGCCCTGGGGCTGTGCGTTTGAGTGTTGAAGCAGCTTTTGACCAGATGGGACCATGGCGCCTTGGCAAAGTTTAGTTCATCTCGACATAAAACAAAAGGGTCACTTGCAATAAAAAGTCTAGTGTGTTAAACAAAATCTTAATGGTCTTGAGTTACATTTTGAAATGGCTTTTGTTTTTGTTTTTGTTTTTTTTTAAGTAGAGCAATTTGCATTTCTCTCCCCTCATTTGAGAGTCCTGAGCTCTGTAACGGTCTCATGACGCCCAGGCACCGCACCTATTAAATGCTGTGAATTGAGTGAACTTGGCGAGCAAATTCACCAGGGGATCCTCAGGAAGAAAGAGAGCTGAGATCCGACTTCTTCCTGAGCGACGCTTTTGTGTACGCCTTCCGTGCTTGCCTCTGCATTGCTGGAGCTGACATTCCCGGCCCCCCATCTCTGCCACTCTGCGATGAATGGATGGTCCTTGTGAGCAGCTGCAGCATGTCAGCTGTCTAGACAGAGGTGCATTTCTCTACCTGGGTCCTGATATGCATTTATTTCCTTGGTTTTCAATATTGTCACTTGGTAAATGCAGATTGAGGGACCATGAGTTAACTTTGCCCCCTGGAATATTAATTAGGGAAGGAAGATTTGATTCCTCTATTAATTTC